GCTACGAGGAGGCGGTAATGAGAGCTTGGCGGGGACGGATCCATCTGCCGCCACCACGGCGGCCTTCCATCACGCGGGTTAAAAGGCGGGCGACTCGGGGGGTCAGGACTCCCTCGCTCAAGGCCGTCAACATTCGTTACCGCCGAGAGATGAATTTGCGGCCATCCAGATAAAGTCTCTTTAATTCGCTCGCACCGCGCGGCCGCTGGGGCGGGAGAAAATGGGTCGAGCGCGCGTCTCTTCCGCCCGTCTGCGGCTCGTGGATAACGCACGGCACTCGTCACGGCGCGGGGGCCGGGTTACAAAAGTGTCGGCGGTGCGGCGGGGCGCCGCGAGGACGCGACACGAGGGCCGCCCGGAGGGGCGCCTAGAAAAAGAAGAGAAGAGCTGTGCTGGAGCGGCAAGCGCGCGTACCCTTGTTGTGCTGCTCGTGTCGATTTTTAATCCAGCGCGCGGGAAAGTGTGACTTATTTAATTAAGTGCTTAGGAATAGCGGAGAGTATCTTGTACCGTGGCGCCAAAAAGCGGTTAGCAAAATGATGAGACTCGGGTTGGCATTGACTCGGCACGTAATACATGGGAGGGTTGTGGATCCAGAAAATACTTTTTTGAAAGGAATATCAATATTTCACTTTAAACTTTGTCTAAGCGGAGAAATTTTATACATGAAAAGCAGTGCAATCGCTGCAGTTACGCTAATCCCCCTTTAGAGCCGTCATTAAACAGTATCCCATAGTGAAGCGAGGAGCTTCCCAGGCATGTCCTCGGCTAAGTGCCATCGTCCTGTTTCCAATATGCAGTTTATTAAACTGGATACGCACAGTGATCGGCTCACGTACAACTGTGTCACGGAATTAAATTAAAGACAATCACAAGGCAGTTAAGGGCTTCTCTCCCTTCGCGTAACAATAAAAGACCCGTTCTTAAAACTGCCTTTATGCAGCCACCAAGGGCTTCATGAGAGAAGACGTTTTTAGGAGGAGCCCTATTACCCGTGATTTTGTGCTTAGTCTAATTGATACTTGGCAAAGTTGCGCCTTTCACAGGTCAAGGAATACGTGTGCAAAGTTGTAACACAGAACAAGAATATGTTTTTATCTCCATCTCACTCTCTCTCGGTGAATCTTGAATCCGACTCAGTGTGCATTTAATGAGGCACATGCAATTAAGTTTAAGCACAGCATTCACCACCAGACTGCCAACTGCGCCTGCACTTTAAAACTCTGTGCTACAACCGCATCCTCCAAAGTTCTAGCCGGGTAACGGAGTAGTGGTGGCGGGGGGGGGGGGGTGTCGTGTAATGGTTTAAAGATCGTCAACGAATCCATATCGCAAGGAAATAGTTGCACGTGTTAATTACGTGAAGTCTCAATAAAAACTCGACCATTTCGTCGACAGTGTTTGTGAAAACCTGGCGTCATGCTCGGCTGCTCACAATGTCTCTGTACTGTCTGCATTTCCAGCCTGAAATGTAAACATTTATTAAATAAGATGTAGATTTTACTTCCCTGAAGCCGTGCCCTGCACGAGTGCATGCGTATTCTTACACATCTCTTTGAATGGACATGTGCATACATTTTTTTTTTTACAAAATGTATGTGGGGAGCAATAGTGTAGTGGTTAGCGCACTGTGATATGAACCCGGTAACTCGAGTTCATTTCCCGTTGATAGCCAACATTGGTGACAACTATCTGAACCAGTCCTGAGCCTCCCCTCGGTAAGCTCAGGCTTAAATAAGCACATAGTCCGATGTCTAAATATAAGCAGTTGGAACACAAAGGCAGATGGGCATGGCATTGGCCACACCACCTGCGCCGGCCTTAATAGGAGCTCGCTAACAGCGTTTGCCCCAACAGTCTGGTAAAGGCTATAGAGGGGATCTTTATGTTTATTGTTACAGTGGCTAGCAGAACCAAGCTCCTATTCTGCTTATCAGAGTTTGATTCCTGGCAATGAGGCACATCAGTGATAATTGGTATCTGAACCTGTCCTTAAGTCTCCCCAAGGTAGATTCAATCTTAAATGAATGCTAATTATGTTATTTAATTAATAATCCTGGAAAGCCTCTGAGTCTCAAAACCTTTATGTTCCAGAGGACCCTAACCCATTGCTGTGCTATGCCAGCCTTATTAGGGGTGGCTAATAGCACTTGCTCCAACAGTTTATAAAGTTAAATGGGGGGTGTTTATCTCTTGTGTGTGTTTTAGTTTGTTTGTGCATGTGCAATCTTGCATACCCTATTTTGTTAACCCTTAACACCTGGATCTGTCCAAAGACCTCCAGTCACTCTACTACTCTACATGGCATTAAAGTGCACCGAACCTGGTACGAATGTTGAGGTTCCATTTACCACCAACTGGTGGTAAATGGCAGCTATTTTTGTGTTTGTGCTTCTATACAGGGGTAGGAGCAGTGCAATTAAAAGAGGGCTTTATCGACGCGATGCCCACTTAATACATTCTCACAAGACTGTCGTGTGTGTGTGAATACATGCGTCTGCCAATATCCCCCCGAAGTGGAATAATGACGTTGTCACTCAATAAATAAAAAATGCCTCGACGTAATAATTTCTCCTTGTGTGACCGAATCTGAGCTCTTCATTAACCAGAAAGGGAAGAAAATAAATCACCACCTGCAAGCGGACAATGTAACCGCTGGAATGTGAAACAGGAACATGCATTACGCGCCACGGTTAATCGACAGACATGAAAAGCACGACTCTGGTGGCTGTCGAGGCATAGTGAAGATTAACATTATAAGCATCGATGACAGATCTTGCAAATGCACATCGCTATTTGTCACCTGAGATCAAATCGCTCAGGCTTACGTGCATCCCAAAAAAAGCCTAATTATTTTTCCACCGAGGTGCCAGTTAGGGATAGGCAGCAATTCCAAGTTCCCTTACAATGAAAGTCGAGGCTCGCCTATTGGACTGGTCTCGATCCGCTTGTTATCGCTCATTACAGGGAACCGCATGTGCTTTATGAAGAGAGTTGCGGGGGGGGGGGGGAGATTGGGGTGAGGCGCAGCACAAAAGAAAATTCTGCGTTGACAAAACAAGGGCCCCGTGTTTCCACGGCGATTACTTGACTTTGGAAAAAGAAGGGTGCAGGGGTGTGCAGTTGGACGGGCGACGACAGGGGTGCGTTGCGTCAACACTACATGAGCATGCCCGGTTAATACGGTTGATACGGAAATAACATCGGCAACTAAAACGCAGAGGGCGAAGGAAGGAAATAATGTCTTATAACATGCAACGTACAGATGCCCGCTCTCGCGGACGCACACTCGTGCACATGCACAAGCGCTCATATGCACACACATATATGCAAACAAAGACATACACACACACGCGCACACAATGCCTGTTCCTATGCTGTTTGGGAAACGGAAGCAATTAAGGAGAGGCCGCGATTAGTCGGAGCCGATCAGAGCGCCGCTGTTTCCTTCTCGGTGGGCCCGTTCGCCAGCTGTGAGCTATTCGCGCAACGAGGGCCCGTGACATCGCCCCTAATGAGGCCGGAACGTCGTCTGATATTCACAATCAGGGGGCAAATGGCCGCGTCGTTAGGGCCTAATTACAGCCATCCATTACTCTGACAACGGAGTGGCCAGATGTCTGCGCGAGCGCGCTCGCTGTCTGGCAAGCGGCGTTCAAATTACTGCTGCCGAGCCCGCGATTTAAGCAGTGAAACATTTTTTTAAAAAGCCAGTCCGACTGTAAAGATAAAATAAAACATGTGGGAGAAAAAAAAAAATCATTGTAAAAATTTTAACAAAAAAAGAACAAGCAGCTTAAAATGCAAATTCAGGCGAAGCTTTGCTGCTCACATTCATTTGATCGGGCACCAATACGATAATTTCGGTCCTCTGCTGAAGGCTCTGATCTAGAGATAATTACGACGATGATTTGCGCACTTGACAGCCCATTCAGCGGAAAAAAATCAAGCCGAACGTTTCAAGGGCTGTCCACAAACGGTCCCAAATGAGCCGCCCTGATTTGCTCGCCAGCTACGAGATAATTACCGACCACCGGCATATGCCGCCGGCCTCGCTTAGTGCGACAGGGAACCAACCGCGTGCGCATCATCACTGGCTTAACGGCCGACAAGCTCTCAGCCCCGAAGCCTTTCATTCTCACTCTGATCCTGAAGATGCATTCTTTTGTCCGGCAGTAATGGCGACAGCAAAGGTGACATTCTCAGACTACTTAAAAACATTTTTCATTTCATTCATATCGCAAATTTTGTATTTTTTTGTCCCGTAGGAAGTGTCCACGGACGAGAGGCTTTATACCTTTACGTGTGTGCACACGTACGTGTATTAGCCCACATTTGCAGGGTCCATATACGATGATTTTATGACGTTTGTTTACTTGTGGTTCAATGCACCTATATCCTAAAAAAGCCACAAGGGGCCAAAATGTCAATGCTTTAGATTCGTCCATAATATCGTTTTTTTGGGGTTAGATTGCGAAAATATAAATGTGTCGTTAAACCCGCCACCACCCGACACAGCCAAATAGTAAGGTTTGTCACGTAAACAGGACATGCTAATTCGTTACAAGTACAGCACACCGGTGTGTTGGAGAGCAAATCCACAACATTTACAATCGTGAAAGCCTACGTTTTAAACTGCTTTAGATTCGGCAGGAAATATATTAATATTTCACATCAAGTCAAAGTTGCTTCCAACTCAAACAAACGGTGGCACTCATCTCACATGTACAACTCTGAGCCAGTGGTGGAAATTCTGCATTCCTATAGCCGGTGTTGAGTCTATCCAGAGGACAACTGCTGCTGACTGTCTATAAAGTGGTATTCATTTTAGTGACCCCCATCCGGACGATATGGCTGAATTGACCACCTTCACCTCACCGGGATTTGAACTTGCAATTGTTTAGATTGTCAAATGATCGCCCCCGACCATTGCACCGATGCTGAAGGCAGAAAATAAGGTTTTATACCAAACACCTCTCATACCAAATGCCTTCTCACACCTGTTTAATGGGAATCTCCCTGCCGCTCCCAATGATGTCCGTTTTCCCGACGTCATTCCTCCTTTCGCCATCCAGGTTCACCTTCCGGGACTATTGGCACAGGAGAGAAATATTTGACTTGCGAGTGGTAATGAGATTTTTAAAAATATTACATTTTCAATCAACTAGCACGGACACATTTATTACAGTGACACGTGTACATAAATATTACACTCAAACTAAAAAGAATTACAATAACATTTTACAGCCGTTTGAAAATCCACTGTTGGATGAAGGCCTCTCCTGACAACGTGCCAGGCATAGGGGTAATTTGACCAGACCTGACCATGGCTGGTCAGTAGGAGTTGGTAAAGGAATCAAACTCAGGGTGGCAAGGTTCTTAGCCGAAGTGCGTTAACCACTGCACCACCGCTGCCCACACACACAAAGTTACATGACGTAATTTGGATGTATGAAACGCCTAAATGCCATTTCATCCAAACAACCACTAACTATAAAAGTGGTACTCATCACGATAAGTAATGCAGTTAATAGGATTGTTCTTTTGATTTTTGACATTCTCTTCTGAAAGTTAAATTCTAATTGTGCTATCGGTGTCGTGTGATGAAGACATTTAACACTGGGAGCTCTCGCAACGAGCACCACAAAGTCACATTGCGTCAGGGAGCAGTCGCGGGAGGTGAAATCACAGAGCAGTTTATGGAGTCACTGATCTACGTTAGGGTCACATGTTGTATCCACTCTGTTCTAACAGTGTAAAGCTCATCAGTGAAAACAGAACTTTGATTATGGCTTCTTGTGCAGTCACGAGCGATCGGGCCTACACCATGGTTGAACCTGCATTCAAACCCAGATATGTATGTATGCATGTTGAACTTCTTTCACACTGTATGTAGCCAACCATGTTAATCGGAGGTGTGGGGGAAGGACAACAAACTATACACAAAAAGCAGGTCTAGAGAAATTAGTTTTCAATCTTGATTCAAAAGCGATTTGCTCCACTGGCTTTCTAATATCGTAAGAAAGAGCGTTCCAAATGGCCTTGTTCGATAGGGAGCCAAAAGCCGCTGCTGTGAGGCTGACCGGAGCTCGCGTGTACCAGTTGTGCCCAGCTAAGTGTCTCTGACACGGTGTTAGCCTACCGAACCACCCAGCCAGCTCTGCGTGTATCCCTACTGATTAACATGCGGTACCTATAGCCGAGTAGTCGCCCTCTATTGCAGCTCCGTGGACTTCGAGTGCTGGGCACGGCATTCTACGCCGAAGAGCAGGCACTCACCGTGAAGATGGATCGACGCCGCGGCTGCTTGCGCGACGACGTGGGGGTGATGGCGCCGTCAATCCGCATTTCCCGTTCAGTGCTGGCCGGCGTGGAAGCAGACGATGACGACAGCGCAGGAATGACCGCGGCTGTTGCCGCCGCCGCCACGTGCGTCTGTGAGTAAAGGCCTCCGTGCAGCGCAGACGGCTGTTCCAGTCATGGCACAACAAAGAAACAAAGATCCCCCATGTAGCCTTTAACAGACTGCTGGGGCAAGTGTTGTAAGCGAACACCTATGAAGGCCGGCACAGCACACAATAGGGCCATGTTCTGTTCATCACAATGACACTGAAGAGGGTGGTTTTGGTTTTGGCAATCAAGGCTAAGCTACCTAGAGGAGGCCCTAGGCCAGGTTCGGATGCCACTTGCCGTTTAAGATGTACATCATGAGAAATAATCGAACCCAGGTTGCCAAGAGCGGAGCATCAGTTTATAAACCAGTATGACACCTTTCCCCACCACAGACACACACACACACCACAATTACCAGCAGCCTGTGTCCCAGCATTCACAGGACTCAATACGGTAAGAAGGATACATTTAAGTTTGTGGCAGCGATGCTGAATCCTGGCAGCAGCAGCAGCGCAATTGTTTTATTTATTTATTTTTGGGCTCAATCAAATGGATCTCAGTTGATTCTTGATCGAGTGCTCAGGGCCGCAAAATGAGGCAGCCTGCGCTCAGTCAGCACCGCGACGGCACTACGCACAACACCCACACCTGCAGCGCCTCCTTGACTTTCTTTTCACCCTTGCTTTATTGTAATCAGGCAATCCCTATTGATTTATTTTAAATGCCACAATCAGTGTTACTTATACTTAAAAAGGGCATCATCTTTTTTGAACTTTACAAAGGAGTTTGTCAATGAGGCCTGCTGAGAAGGAACTTCACAAACAATTCCGTAGATATGTCTGCTGGCACGGACACTAGGAACCTGTTTTGCATTAACATGCCCCTCCATTGGGCCTACGAAGCTGTGCACTCGAGATCATTTTTCATTGTACAGCTACTTGACATCAATCTCCATTGGATGGAGACATGATTAGCCACTGGACTGTAAAGCCATGCCAGCCAGCTCATCCATATACCAGGTATAATCTTAAACGATAACGTCGCCGCGCAGCTGATAAACACACTGCCGCCTGCAGCACACGCTCCCCAGTGTTTTGAAGCATTTACAACAAAATCATCCTTAATGTGCCCGATCTCGTCACATCTCCGAAGTTAAGCAAGGGTGAGCCTGGTGAATACTTGGATTGGAGGGCTGCGTGTGTGGATACGAACGACCGTTGGCGTGGATTGCAAGGCGGCCAGCAGATGGCAGCACAGCAATGGATTGTTGAGCATTGAGCATCACCCTCTTTGTGAGCGTAGTTTTTCTTTGGCCACTTTGGTTTCCTCCCACGTAAAGCCAAACTCTCATTAATGGAACCATCCAACCACCCCTCCGATTACCACAGTCGGCTACGTACGGTGCGGAAGAAGTGCAACATACATACCCCGTAAAGCTTTTCTGTGTAAATAATCTTACATGATCTTTAAACTGCTAGATGAAGGCCTCCCCAAGCCTTTGCCAAAAGGACATTATTGTTATTACTATTATGGGATGTTGGGATTGAGAGGTGTGTGGGTGTATGTGTGCATGTAGGGTAGCGGTTATCACGCTGCACTATGAACCCCGAAGACCAGTGACGATTATCTGAACCGGTCTTGAACCTCCCCTCGGTCGATTCAGCCTCAAATGAGTACCTGGTGGTGCAGTGTGTAAACATTGCCACTGGGAAGATATAGGCGGTCGGGCGTGGTGCTGGCTACCCACCCACTCATGTGCTGTGCCGGCCTTCACAAGTGCTCACTCACAGCACTTTCCCTAAAAGTATGTTAAATGCTATACGGTGGACCTTTGTCTTCGTTTGTGTTTCACACAAGAGTCAAGCTGGCAACATTAGGGAGACCATGAGGGCTCACGTGGGCTGTGGGGATTACCCGTGGTGGTCACCTGTGTTACATGGAGGGGCAGGGGCACAGCAGCCAGCTGCGTCATCACCTGCGCAGGGTGCGGGGACAGGGGCCCCATGGGGGACGACGGAACGACAGGCGCGGAGGGTGACGTCACCATAGGCTTGCACAGTCCGATGGACAGCTGCTGCTTCTTCCGCGTGGCCACGATCCTCTGGGCCACTGCGCCGCAACACGGGCAGACGGCAGAGTCACCGAGGGAGGAAAACAAATGAATGAGATGAGAGTCCGCAGCCGTCGAGTGAAACGGACGCACAAAGCGTGCCGACGTTTTGCCGAATCAGAAGCGTTTCCCACACCTCCGAAGAAGGGTAATCGTGTGAAATGTTAGCAAAATAGTTTGGTTCTTTGTTAAAAGGGAGTGGTAATGGTGTTGGTGGCGAGTGAGGAGCTTTTAGTCTGTGCTCATATGCCACTGCCAATGCAGCCGCTTCTTATTCTTCTCCAATTATAACCTCAATTCGGTCACGCAACTCATTTGGACACGGAGGTTTTTGTGAATTTTGTTCAAATCGCATCCGACACGTGGAATTCAGTCAACGTAAGGCGTGCCAGACTAATGGGCAGCCATTTTCATCGCTCAGGATCGTCTTCTACAGTTGGCCAAAAAATACGGCCCTTTGACGACACAACGTGGATATAAAACCAAAGGTTTAAAGCAAATAGGTCTCCAGTAAAAGTTGTTCTAAGCCAAGGCCATGAAACCACGAGCAGGTGTCCTTACAGGGAGGCCAACGCCCCATCACTCAGCACGGCGTCTGCCCTGGTTCCACTAATCGCTACTTTTTCCTCTTCCCTCCTTTTTCTTTAAAATCTCAAATTGACCCCCAATCTCTCACCAGCAGCACGGCAGTATGTGCCAGCCGAGATGCAGACCCCCATCTCTGAAATCAATTACCTAATCCGCTTTAATCGGCTGTGCGATTAATGCGACCTCATTACACTCCAGCCTCGCCCCGTCCTGGTGGCACGATGTCACATCGCGGCTCCAACAGCGCGAGACTAATGGAGCGAGGACAGTCGCAGCCACACCACTCCCTCCCTCCTTCCCTCTCTCCCCTCCCCTCCCTCCCTTCCCTCCTTCCCTCTCTCCCCTCCCTCCCTCCCGGAGGCCCTTCCTTCCCTCCCTCCCTCCCTTGCACCCTCTCTCCCTGTCATTTCCCACAAGGACCACAGAGGCGTGCTCTGTATCTTGTAAACACGGCTGTCTCTTTTGTCAAAGTCAAGCCAGAGCGGCCAGGAGGGTGCAGGCTGATGTAGCTGTGACGCCGATTGGCTTTGCCGATTAACAGCGGCTGTGGTTTTTGGTCAATTTCAAACGATCGCTTCAAATTGACAGTTTAGAGCGTCCTAGAAAATTCTCATTTATCTAATGTGGGGGAAAAAAGAATGCCACGTGAGGCGCGATACCCAGCACGGCAAAGGAGAAGCACTGGGTGCGGGGTTGGGGGTTAGGGTATGGGTGGGAGGTACCGGATGGGAGTTTGCGTGGCGGACGAGTGAGGAGAGCGCGGTGGGGAATGTTTTTGGACAAATCTACCAGAGGGATTATTAGCAGTTTTAAGAGCAGCGCTCCTACGATAACATTACACATCCCCAGGCGACAGTTCACGGAACACGTAATTCGCTGCACTTTTTGAACCCCTGTTTAGCCAATTTTGTAGGCTTCCCCCTACATCAGAGGCATCGTGGGGTGCGGGGTGTGCTGGCTGGGGAGCCAGGGGTTAACGTGTAGTCATCCGCTGTAAATTTCCTCCCTCCAACTCTGACCCTGTAATTAGACTTTTTTCTTTCACCTCCTCAGACATCTGAAAAACATGTTCAACAGATACCGTGCCCCTGTCAGCAAACTCTCCCTACCCAACGCCACCCCACAGACCCCTTCACCCTAACCCACTCCACAGCCCCAGAGGGTAAACCTTTAAAAGGACCCCCTCCAATAATTGCCAATTGATTCCAAATAAAGCGCTTTGACAATGACCAATGAATGGGAAGGGGGAAGGGAGGAGGCAGACGGGGGTGCTGCTGATGGTGAGAGGGAGCAGGGAAGGCCAGGGGAGGGGAGCAACTTTCAATGAGTTTCCTTTAACTCCTCTCGAGAAGGCATGAGTACAGAGCAGCGGCCGAGCCCACACCATAATACGCGAGCAGGACACCAGGTCTAAAGAGTGCTGTGCGGTTGTTTGGAGCACTTGGGCCTTCACAGTTGTGCCCTAAGAGTCCTCTGACGGCACAACCCCCAAAAGCACAAGAGAGATTGTTCTAGCTCCTCAATGGTCCGAAAGAGAACGCGGGAAATATTCCTCCGAGTCCTAACAACCAAGCGCGCGCTTTACCTCCCGACAAGACAGGAGGCCCGTGGCGCGACACACGCAGGGGGAATTTTCTGAGCACACACCGTGCGACGCAGCGTCGTGGCGGTGGCCACTAGCGGACACCAGCCGACCACGTCCACTCCTGTAACGGCGCGGCCAGAAGTACCGGGGGTGGACGGTGGTGTTCGGACATACGTGCAGCGTCGGCACGGAAAGCAGAGCACATGTTTTGTTGGAGGAGCGAGGGAGGAAGAGGAAGGGGAGGTGGGAGGCAAAGAGATGGCGAGGCTGGGCTTAGGGGGGGGGGGGGACACTGGCGGGAAGGTTGGGGTTAAAGGTACAGCTGGAACAGCCTGGCGGCCAGAGATCACCAGCCCCTCCTCCCTACGTGGGGTTAATGAGATAATTGCAGTTTATTACATCCTGAGTCCAGATGAAAGGCTGCCTTACAAACAGATGTGTCTCCACATCCTGTAAATTCAATACCTCCACATGAGCCGCACAGCCCTACTCTCTCTCCCTCGCCAAACCCCCCCCCACCGCATCCCCAACCACCACAGCCACCCCCCCCCCCCATGGCCTCCCGCCCCCAAACTAACAAATAAATACGTAAATAAGTACGTCGGTAATTCCCCGCAATTGAGCCCAACACGACTCGCCCTCTTTCAGCAAACATCTGCACAGAGATCGCAATATCCCAAGCAGTCCCGTGGCACAGACAGCAGGTGGCACGGCATACGGGCTGTGAGCAGCAGCAGCCGCAGGACGGGGAAGCAGGGAGACACTTTAGGGAGCAGAGTGGGGCAGAGAAATGCGAGGCCGAGCTCGGCAAAGCAACAGTGAGAAGTGTCTGGCCGGCGTGGAAGTGAGGGTTCAGGGAATTGGGCACAATTGTGCAGTTAAGTTTTGTTCGCCAACTATGAATGGAGCAGCTGTCTTCAGCCCTACCACTCACTCCCGCGCATGCCTCCCCAGAACCACGCGTACTTTGTTTCTAAACGCACGTTCATAAGCATGCTTTTGGAGTATTTGGTAGCTATAAGTTTACACACGATACGCCACTTCGCTGAGCAATCATTTGTGGACAGGTCGCTTCTGAAAAAGAGATATATAGCTCAGTGGGCCTTACCTGGTAAAATAAAAATCGTTTACAGTTTTAGTTTTGTACTGTTTGGAAAAGAAGTCCAAATGGACTTCAGGGCTTTTTTTATTCATTGGGGAGTCCTACTGCTCTGGACCCCAAAACATTTTCAGCAGGTTAAATGCAATAATATAGATATGTAGAAATACATTTATGGGGGTTTGAGTATTTTTTTTTTATTGGATGATAGATGGTATAAAATGGAGTGACGTGGTTGTAAGTAAAAGGTGAATATTTCAGTGTCAGGTCTGTTGCTGAAAACACTCTGCGTGTTGTAATTCAATGTTGCCATCAATGCAAACAAGATTAGCAGTATTCGCAAAAGCAAATGCAATTAGAATGAATTATGCTGTATACATGAAGTGTAAAATACACACATTAGGCCGGCGCGCGGAATAAAGTGTGATTAGATATTCCGTGGCAGGCAGTATAACTTTTCCCAATTTAACAAAAAAAATTGTTCTCAAAATCAAGTGCAGGTGCTGTCACGGGCAGCGTCTGACAAACGAGCGCCTCCCCCCCAGTGGCAAGTGCCTCTGCTCCGCACCCTCACGGCTGCCGCAGCCTTGCGCTGTCACGGGCAAGCTCAAATTAAACTCCGGCCGAGAAATAAATCTCAACCCCGGCGCTCGGCGAGGTAATTAAGGAGCGTGATTAATTTGCGGCGCAGCAAGGAGATTGCGCTGTAATGAGACCGCTTAGAGCCGGGTCCTTGCGGGATGGGTGGATGGGGTGAATGGGGTGGATGGGGTGGATGGGTGGACGGGTAGATGGGTGGACGGGTGGTAAAATGGAAAAATGGACAGCATTTGCATGTGTGTGTGTATATTAGTCTCTACTATATTAAGGGTAGCGGTAGTGTAGCGGTTTAGCGTGCTATGCTACGAACCCGATGCCCTGAGTTCGATACCTGCTCACGGCCAACACCAGTGACGATTATCTGAACCAGTTCTGGGCCTCCCCTAGGTCGATTCAGCCTCAAACGAGTACCTGGTGCAGTTTCTAAACATTGCAACTTGGGAAACAAGAGCAGCCAGGCGTGGTTCGTACCGGCCTTCATAAATGTCCGCTAACAGCACTTTCTCCAGCAGTCTTTTAGGCTGTACGGAGGATCGTTGTCTTTGTGCACATTAGTCTTTACGTGCGTGTTTGTACGTGTGGGGAGCAGTGGCGGCATACTTAGCGAACCCAGGAACCTGAATTCAATTACTGCCAGAGCAGACATCAAAGGTGATTGACATCTTAACCAGCCCTGGGCCACCTCTCTGAGCTTGGCTCCGTGCCTCTGAGTTGCGGCCGTTAGGTCCGCAAATTTGCAGTGTGTGGAGATCAGCATCAGACAGACAAAGGCAGCCTGGTTTGTTTTTTTTCCAGCCACACCACTCTGTCGTGAGCAGTGCAAGGGAGATCTCTGTCTTTTATATGCATGCGTGTGTATCAATTCATACTGCTGGGTGGACAGAGGCAGGAGAGTGCATGCAACTTGGTCATTGTTTCAACTGCCACAAAAGGAGAATGAAACCGGTCCAGTGTGCACACATTAAACCCATGCCAGCATCGGTGGTGCAATTCCAAAAGGAAACATGACCCCTCATCTTTTAAAGCCTGTTCACAAAGATAACAGAGCGTGGTTTTTGTTTGTTTGTTGGAGGGTTTCTTTTATTTTTATTTTTGGCCGACGCTTTTTTTTCCTAAACCTTTCAAACTACTCCAAATTGCCAACTCCTGCACGGACACCTGGGCTCAAGCGTCAGAAGTTAATCACACTAAAAATGAGCTCAAGCGGCAGCCGTTTGCCACCGATTGCGGCGCTTTCGTTTTCTCTCACCTCGAGTGTGACAATTGCGCTGCAATAATAACAGTCATCTGTTTGTTGTCGAATTCACTGAAGGAGGTGTGGCAGCAACACCAACAAAAACATAGACGTTGGAATTCAACAATTAACTAGGCTAAACCGCAACCCCTGAGGCTAATCGCAAAGTAATCTATTAAACACGATGTGACTTTCCTCAACGCGCTCGGGTGAGGCGTGTTCTTTATTGCCGACTCGTCAATGCTCGCTCGCTGCAAACGGGAGGGTTCGCTGCTCACCGGTAAAATGTGCACAGAGGGAACAGCCTGACAAAGGTCAGCGGCGGTCAAACAACAAGCGACCATCCTCCTCATTGCTGTTGGTGAGAGCCATTGTCTTCGCTTTGGCTACAGAGGGCGGTGATTTTTTTTTTTGCACCACTCCGTGCCGGCTCATAAATGAGCTTTTTGACGGGTCCTTAACAAATCTCAGAAATTCAACAAAAGCATGGCAACGTGCCGAGGCCCTGGCGTGTGTCCTCAAATCTCTCATCGCCCTGCAACACAGAGGGGGCAAACTGCGCAGAGATTTGACAAAGGTTACACCAGTCCTAAGTTCGCATCCATATCTTCATGCCAAATTTCAGACCATCGGCAAACACAGAAGATGAACGCCTTAATATTGGTGCACTTACTCCTGAAGGCCAGTTCCCTACCACAGCGGCTCTCTATAACCCCACTGCTGCGTTTGCACACACTCGCTGAGCAGCGTGCGTGCAGCACGTCAAAGGAGACGCTGCAATGGGAAACAAATAGACCATGTAAAACCAGTGATGCACTGCTCCGATGTCTGTATTAAAATGTCCTGAGGTCTATGCCCAAAGCAAATTGTAACCCCTGGACAGAATTAAGGTGAGGCTGTCTTTATGAGAGATTCTTTCTCAAAGTGCCATCTGTACGATCCAGCGACTTACTCTGATTATCATCCGAAACAAAGCTGCTTGGTCTTTGGACAAGTGCCAATTGAACTCTTCTCTAAACACGACCATAATCTTTGGCCAAACATTTTCCCCAGCCTCAACCCTAACCCTTGACCCTGAGCACCAACATCCATTTTAAATCAAATTGACCAACTCGAGAAAAAACAAGAGCCTTGACGTGCAGGAAGGCTTTCCAGAAAAACATTAAGGTGTCCCTTGTTTCCAAGCCACACGAGGCCTACCAATTAGGCCCCCAGACGATATATATTCGTCACTGCAAGCATCTCAGTTGCACTAATCGGCTACTGGAGGGGAATTCTTCTCAACCTGGCCAACCCTGTTTCTAACTTTAGACTGCTCACTTGTGTCACAGCGGCAAAGTGCGCCCCCTTGCACAACGTGAACGCGTGGTCACCTGACAAGACGCGAAAGCCCTATTCGTCGCTCACTAAAGGAAAACCGTTTCCCCATCCCTGCTTTTGGACGCAACGAACGTTCCCAGCGCCGGGACGGCGTTCCGGGCCTCCTCCCACGTACCTTCCTGGAAGACGCGCTCCACGTTGAGGCCATAGGTGGCGCACGTCTCGTAGTAGGTGCCAATGCGCAGCTCGGAGCACAGCCTCCTCGCGCGGGCATCCTCGACGGTGCGTGGGCTGCCCGGCCCAATCGCGTCTGCCGGCACCACCACCACCCCCGCACACAAAGACAAAGATCCCCCGTGTAGCCTTAACAGACTGTTGGGGCAAGTGCTGTAAGCGAGCGCCTATGAAGGCTGGTATGGCACATGTGGGTGTAGCTAGCACCATGCCCGGTCGCCTTTGTCTTCCCAGTGGCGATGTTTACCACCGCACGCGCAGACATCGATGTAGCCTTAAACAGACTAGTGAACAAAGTGCTGTTTACGAGCACCTATTAAAGTTGGTGGCGCGGTGGTTGGTAGAACGCACTACGAACTCAGCCACCTGAGTTTGACTCCTGGCCACGGCTAACATTGGTGGTATCAGAATGGACCTCGCCGAGGTCAGTTCAGCCTTCAACTGACCGGTACCTGTGTTAGATTGGATATTTCCGAGCACAACGGAGTCCCTCCACAGCCAAAACACACAACAACAACAACAACAAAAGACAAGCGAAACATCGAAAAGCGTGACCCTCTTAAAAAAACGAGCCTTGATAAAAACTCAGCGAGGTCTTCCTGCGCCTAAAACAATAATCTCTGTCGTCGAGGCCGTTATTCATCGCGGCCGAAACGCCGCTTGGTGCCACGTGACCGGCGGAGGAAGAGGGATATCATTATCATCATCACCGTTATCGGCACCGCCACCATCATTCGTCTCTTTTATATTTGCACCTCTCACATGCAACATGCCTCGCGGTGGAGCCCGGGCGAGCGGGGCAGTCGGGCGCCGCGAGACTCCGAACGCGGCGATATTTAAAGAGAAGGAGGGAATTTATCACTCTTCGTCGACGGCGGCAGTGGCGGTGGCACACTCCCAGAGCTCCCTTTCATTTTTTTCACCGATTTTTAATGAGCTCTCTCGGTCATTAAGTCAAATCCCCCCCCCCCCCCGCCATTGACGAGGGCCGCTGTTTGACAAAGTCTCCCTCTAATCGATATAAGAGGCTCCGCGGAGGTGGCGGATGCGCACGGAATTGTACTGCCGCTGCCCGACCTCGTGCTGGCTGCACGTGGAGAGTGTTGATGTGCGCGCCCCCGTGCGCGCTGTGTGTGTGTATGTGTGTGCGTGCGTGTGAATTTGTGTGCACCTATGTGTTTGTTTGAGGGTATGTTTGTGTGTGGTGTAATTAGTTGTATCTGTGCATATGTGGGCGTGTGCAATAATGCTCTGTATGTGTGTGCTAGCGTGTAAATGGGGTTTGGTTGTACGTGTGCACTCTGCATGCATTGGTACGTGTGAGTATGTGAGCGTGCGTAAGAACGCCCATACACGCATGTGTGTGTATGTGTGTGTGCGTGTACACATAGACATTAGGCCTGGGTATGATTCGCTCCCATCGTGATTCAAAGAATGTCACGAATCTGGAAAGCGATTCAATTCGAGTCAATTTTATATATATATTTTTTAACAACGTGGGTCAATGTAGCGCATCTAATGGCTGCAGGGGCAACATGAACTAATTACATACAACGTAAACGTATCAAAAACAATCAATTCTCGCACGCAAGATGCATCGCAAGAATCAATTTTCGAGACTATAATGGACAAAACAATTTCGCTACCCCCAGTGAATGTGTGTGCGCGTGAGAGCGTTACACCGGCTGGTGCCAGCGGTATCTAGATCGGCCACTGTGGAGGAGGCAAGGTAAAGACACGACTGGGCAGTTGCTGCTGGCGTCCTTGATGCAGTGCTCACAACAACGACGAGGAGAGCGTCAGGCGGTTAAAACGCAACCGAGTTGCCACAGCAGGGCGTGCCAAAGCCGGTCTGTTAACCTCTAACGTTTTGGTCTGTTCAATTAGCTCTTGCCAGGGAGCATTTACCCACTCTCCATTGCCTCAAAATGTACCCAATGACACCAGTGTCATTTAGTGGTGAATACGGCTGATGTTGTTGTGTGTGAGTGCGTACGCGATGTTCGCGTGTGCGAGCAAGTCAGCAGGTGTGCTTGTGCGATAGGGTTGCGGTTAGCGCTACGCTGCGCTACGAACCCAACGGCCCCCAGTTCGATTCCCACTCACGGTCAACACCAGTGACGATTATCTGAACCGGTCCTGGTGCCTCCCCTAGGTCGGCTAAGCCTTCAATTGAGTACCTGGTGCGATGTGTAGTAAACATCGCCACTGCGGAGACAAAGGCGGCCGGGCGTGGTGCTGGCCACCCACCCCCTCTCGTGTGCTGCGCCGGCCTTCATAGGTGCTCGCTAACAGCACTCGCACCCAACAGTCTGTTTAGGCTAAACGGGGAATGTTTGTCTTTGTTCGCGGTTGCGTGTGTCCGTGCGCGTGTTTGCTGGTGCACGTGAGCAGCACACCCTGTGTCCCCACGAGCAGCGTGGGCAGCTCCGAGAGGCTGCAGAGCGACGACAGCTGCTGGTGGTAGCGCGCCACGCTCTGGAAGCTCGTCTCGTCGGACAGCGCGAACACCAGCATCACGCCGTCCAGCCAGGACGCAAACTGCACGCGCACACGGCAACCGCGATCGGACGTTCAGCGTTAACACCCCGCGGAAGCGAGGCGATGGGCCCGGCATTCGTCAAATCAAATCAGTCGCACGTTTGGTATTTGTGCCATATGCCTATCACAAAAATGCTATTTCACAGACGTCGTCTGCAGTAGATTTCGCAGTGGAGGGCGAAGTTGCAATGTGTAATCCCTGTTGAATATCTTGCAGGTAAAATTTCATAATTGGCAAATCTGGGTCATAACGCAGCCACAAATGGCCTGCTGTTTTCGAAATGACCGTCATGGGATATTTCCTGTCAACTGCAGCAGTCGGTGCAAGTTATTCATGGTTCTTATACCCACAATAGTAACCAGGGCAGCCTGCAGGAAAGGAACGGCGAACCTCTGCAACAAGCGGCGAACGCAACACGGCTGGGTAATGTCACACTCAACCGCTGGGCCATGTACTGCCGTGACGCACACACCAGTGCTTATTCAATGCCGAGTTAAAGCAAGTCAGGTTCAAATGCAACTTGCCAATGATACTGTGGTGTTGAACAACATTCCCCAAGCACTGCACACTTTCCTCGACACACACTACCCAGCACAAACACACTTCGTCACGTACACACTCCAAAAACGTAATAATGATCATTCCTTTTCATACAATATTAAGGGACAGCAGGGAGAGAAGGCGTCGTGTTAATATTTACACACATATACCAAAAACATGACGGCGGAAAAACGGTTCGCCAGACACAGGACACCACGCAATGACGTCAGCCATCAAACTCACCGATGCGGAGAAGGGGAAAAGAGACCAAAAAAAATCTGAGGAAAAACTTCGGAGAGAGAGCGTGTGAACAAAGACAAATTATCTTGTCGTCACAAAAAAAAAGGACGGGCCAGAAAGACCTTGCCCAGTGAGCGATCCACTCTCACAGTGCCTCGGCAGGGCCATTGTAATTGACACTTCCATTATTTATGGCCTCGGCACAAGCCGGGGAATAATTACATTGAGCTTAATTCTAATCGAGAGACCATTTTTGGCTTAAATGTTCCACGGGGACCCGCCCCTGTGGGCTGGGGGAGGAGTGTGGCGGGGGGGGGAAGGCGATGATGGCTGGCGCAGCGGTGACACAGGCAGTGCATCCGGGCATCACCCCCCCCCCCCCATCTGCCCCCCTCCCCTTGCGAGGAGGGGCGTTTGACATTGACACATTTTTGGGGGCGACCGTCGCAGGCAACACCCGGGGGGTGGGGAAACACCCGGGGGGGGGGGGGGGGTGTGGGGGGACGAGGCGGGGAACCGAACGTGCCGATGAGCTGCGGAGCACGGAAGCTGGGGGGGCGGCGGGAGCGGGGAGCCAAGAGCAAGGAATTGTGGGAATGGAAAAAGAGGTCAGAGATCATGGCTCTGAAGCAAGAAGCGTTGCCGAGGCAACGGCGGGGGGGGGGGGGGGTCGTCGGAGGGGAACCGAGGTCGGAGACAGGGATGGTCCAGAGCGATGGCTGCCTGGAGACGGGTCATTATGATTAAAGCATTAGCGGCGATCGCGCCTGTCAGCTGCGAGATTTGTAGCAAGATTTAGGGAGACAGGAGAAACTGATTATTTAATGAGATCACTTTAATTTCGCCTCCATCTGAACCAAGAATGATGGTCCAAAAATTTAACCGCAATTGGAATGTCAAGGGGAGAGTTCATTTATCTAAATAAAGTGCAGCCACGGCACTTTAAAAAGGTAGCAATTTGGTAACACGGGTTTGAGGTTAAATTGATGGGTTAAATTAAAAGCAACTTATATGCATCGTGCACCAAAAAAAAATCCTGTAACTGCACTCGTTATAGCCGAGGATTTACGGTGGCAGTGGACCGGCCGCGCATAATGGGCACGCGTTTTGGCTGCCGCCCTCAGCCGTTAATAACCGTGCACCACTTTCCATCGTCGTCGCGCGCACGGTCACAACACGCGCCGTCCAAGCAAGCGCCGCGCGTGCGTCGAGCGCCCGCGTGTGCTGCGGGCGGCCTCGTATACACAAAGGGTGGCGCCGCATGTGTGTAACGTGAGACTGTGGGCCACCCACCGGAAGTCGGTGAATGAAATGCATTTCACCGTCTTTTATTCGGAACGTCGCAACAAATTTGTCTCCGTGCTCACAAGAGCGGCGTCGCCCGTTGCCGCGCGACGCCGCTGTTTGGCTCGAGGGCACGGAAGTGACACCATATTAGTGACGTATATGCAAAAAAAATTGTCGGAGCTGATTTTCAGATTATTCGGATAAATTATACTAAAACTCGGCAGCACGTGTCTAATGCATGCTGTTACGCATCGCACTAAAATGTATGCAGAGACAGATATATCCGCACGTCGAGCATCTGGCAATAAACAAATGCATACACAAACTCATACACATCAACTAAATGAATCCTTACAACTAAATATATGAAGGGCGGCACAAAATAAAGAAAATGTAACCGCCGTACCGCCGGAGTGATCAACTCCTCCATCGACGCACCTCCAAGGTCAACATTTTACAATGCCAGTTGTGCAACAGTACAAGCCACTAATTAAATATAAAGTGCACGCCGCGGTTAAAAGACGTCTAAAGTGGTCGCGCCTCTGACCGAGACCCGTGGTTGCGTTTAACGATCGTGTTTAAAGGGCCGGCCTGTGCTCCGGTGCTTTCGGCCCTGACCCCCACCATCAAACATTCTGGACAAAGCGCAGAGGGTAAAAAAAAAATCACTCGCCAAACCGGCTGCCAACGAGTAGGCTTCCTCCGAGCTCGCAATGCACAATCGTCAAGGGATGGGCACTCTGTGTTTGAGCCAATCTGCCCATCCGCATTCAATATTAAGCCGCGCAAGGTGCCTTGTCTACGATACCACCCAGGAAAGTAGCTCGGGCTCCTTGCTATAGACAACCGTGAAGGGGCTCTCCGTCTTGTTTGGACACGACCAGATCACCCCTGGAAATACCCCCATCCCATCAGGTCCCAAGAGCTGAGCAGGATTTAGCCCGGTTAGCATTTGGCTTGATGATCGCTAGGGCTTGCCAGGTGTGGCAGGCCTCTGGGGATGCGTAGTCTGTCGCCAGGAGATGCCAGTGCTGAGTGTCACCCCCTCGTATGCATGGTGGGTCTTCCCTGGGTTTTCCGATATCCTCCCACACAAAGCCAAACACACTTCTTTATGGAGCTGGCCAAATATCTCAATGTGCACTGCGCCCACCTGTCTAGGTAAAAAAACTGGAATGAAAAAATGACGCGCATTATATTATTTTGGTCTTTCAGTAAAGTCATGTAGATAGGTTCAAAGAAGATAACAAAATTTCGATTTAAAGCTTTCGTGACTGCAAGAATTCATCTTCTTTGGTTCTTTCGGTAAAGTCACGTAGAATGAGAATAAAATATTCTCATTCTACATGACTTTACCGAAAGAACCAAAGAAGAAGATAACAAAAACTACGATGTTTCGATCGCAACACAAGCGGTCGTCATCAGGAAAAGGGGGTGAGCCTCTAAAGGCAAACTGTTTATAAAGGTTTGAAATGGGCGAAGCCCAAGTATCAGCAGCATGGGCGGGGCAGCTAATGTTAATGCAAGTGATGGTACTTGTAAACGACCGCTTGTGTTGCGATCGTAGTTTTTTGTTATTTTCTTTTAACCTATCTACGTGACTTTACCGAAAGACCCAAAGAATATTAATTCCTGCAGTCACGAAAGCTTTACGTCAAGATTTGACGGGCATTATTTGAAGCCTATGTATTTTGAACTTCTTGCGTACCGTACGTAGCCAACCGTGCTAATTGTAGGTGAGAGGGAAGGACAACAAACTAAGCACACGCAAAAAACTACTTGTGGGCAGCGTGCATGTTCTCTATAAGGGCAGTGATTATGCAGAGGCAGCTGACTGATAAAAAACATGTAAAGCTGTTGGTCACTGTGTTATACATCATTGTGCCTGTGTTCAGCAACTGCATTTATAAACAAATGGGAATATAAGCACGTATATCGCTTCCCTCCGTGTGCGTGTAGATTAACAAACGTGACTTTGTTTTAAAGTGTGTCGGATAACTAAACAAACGAATGGTTACGCTGCCCGTTTTTTTGTTAAATTAAACACGCTGCATATATGAAATTAAATTTGGTATGTATTCACAAACATACAAAGCGGCATTTTAAGTGCCAATTTGTAAGATATGATATATATAAATTGCACAAATTAATAACACATATCAATTTATGCCATATGTTACGTTTCACATTAAATGTACATGTCTATATGATATAATAATAACTGCTGGAAGGGGCCTCCCCAAGTCGTGTCGGTCATGGGGGTATTTTCACCATGCTTCACCACGCTTGTCAGTGGGGGTCGGTGACGGTGGGGGGTCCCAGGACCGGTTCAGATATCACTCGCCACGGATGTTATAGCCGTGGCCGGGGAATCGAACTCAGTTCGGCGGGTTCCATAGCGCAGCGCGATAACCACTGCACCACCAACTCCACTCGCACCGTGTCAATATACTTTTTTATGTAACTGCATGGGAGCTGTCAGCAGGGAAGCAAGGGCCCCATTAGGAAGATCTCGGCACACGCCAAGCGGTGATTGCGAGGACACGGCGAGGTTACGTCAGGTCCTGGACAGCTGCGCCACACACGGCGCTCAGCGGGTCTGCTCGTGGCTCTCGACGGCAGCGCAGGGGATATATCGCCGCATGGGTCGTCGCATCGTTAAGGGCACTTGTTTAAAAATTTTTTACGGTGAAATAAGGGATGACGAAATTATGCTTATAAGTGTTAAAGGAAACAATGTGAATGTCTTCCATATTCAAAAGATCGCTAAAAAGTGAGTACAAATAAAACTACAAGCTCAAAAGCGGACGAAAATAAAAATCCACTTTAAAACTGCAGAGACGCACGCAAGACAATTTCCGTGCCGAAATGAAAAGCATTCATTTTAAATTCGCGCCACATCTCCGTTTTGCTCAAATGCAGGACAGGATCA